AAATTGTTCTCAATTCCCCGACCCGCTCTGTGGACTATGGCACCAAGCTTCTATCACACAACCTAAAAGATTTTGAATTGCCTACTCCTTAGAATTGTGTATGTCGGAGTGTGGTTTGGTTCGACACTGGGGCTAATTTCTATCGATCATTCACAGTTGATTCTTCTCTTCGACTTGAGTTGTATTTCTTCTTCTTCGTCGACTTAGGCTGGAAGTTCTCTTGTCTTCGACTTGGGCTGGAAGGATCTCTTGCCGCAACTCAGCCGCAACTCTCTGTCGTCCGAGGTGATCTCTTCTCGCTGCCGTCGGGGCTGAACTCTGCCGTAACTCTGCCACAACTCTTGGCGTCCTTCGAGCAATCTCCTTCTTCGTCTGCTTGGGCTGGAAGTTCTCTTGCCGCAACTCAGCCGCAACTCTCTCTGTCGTCCGAGGTGATCTCTTCGCTGCCGTCCGGGGCTGAACTCTTCTGTCTTCGACTTGGGCTGGAAGGATTTCTTGTCTGAGGATTCTTTTTGCCCGCAAAGGGGCGAGTGAATCAGGCCCGATGCCCGCGTTCAGGCTCTTCCCTGCCCGCGGTCCAGCTGCAACTCCACTCCAACTGATTTCTGTCGACTGGGGTCCTGCTTTTATTGACGCCGCAACAAACTGGGGTGGGTCTGTCGGCGTCAGGGTTTTCTCGATAATTCCAAAAGTCGCATTATTTTTGACTTCCCATTATCGCTATTGTTTTCACCCCTACTTCCTCACAGTGCCTTTTTGTGGGGAGGTGCACACCATCTCTCTTAGTCTCTCGTATGTCAGGTGACCGTTTTTCGACCAATGGTTCCTGATCGGGCATTTCTTTCTCCTCTTTTCTGCAGATCACGTGACCGTTTCCGACCAATTGTTATTGATCGAGCATCCTTTCTCCTCCTTTCGGGCGTGGTTACATCGTTCTTGTTTTAAAAAACAAAATCAATTTTGCCTTTTTCTGCACGTACGAAAAATGACAATCTTGGCTTTCTCTCACCTGGGCTCTGTCAACCAGCCCGCCGCTAATTAGATGTGACTTCAGGGAAGAATATTGGCGCTATCTGTGAACTGAGACAATCGTTTTTTTCACCTCTTGTTTTTGTCAGACCCGGCAGTCAGAAAATCTTAATTTATCTGAATTGAAAATATCTTTCACTCGTCAATGTGGGGTTCTAATTTTAACAGGTCAGAATCATATACAATTCCACCGGTCCTCCCCTCAACCCAAAACACTTTTCTCTGATTAAGATTTCGTTTTTCATTGTTCCCCAAAAATTTCCCTTTATCCAAATTGATAAGGTGTCTTTCTACGCAAAAAGTAGGCTAGATGCTTTGACCGATATCTGGTTTTCATCAAGCGGCCCGTTTTGATATCATGTCTTTTCCCTTTCTTTCTTTTTTATTATTTCTAATTCTATTCTTCCAATTGTCTTTAAAAATTCGGTCAACATGCTAGCTAAGATATCTTTCTGACTCCTACCTCCACCATTGACTTTCCTTCTAAATAACAAATCCATTGTTCTTTTCGAAAATCGGCCAAGATGTTGGCCTAATTACCTTTCTGATACGTGTTTTTGTTAATGACCGCTTTTTGTTATTTCTCTCTTCCTCTCTTTTTTTCCTTAGGATCGTCCAAGTACAATCTTAGTGAATTATTTCCAACTCAATTATTTTCCGTTAAAGAAAAAAAATTAACAACCTGTTTAGTAAACCGAGTAAGAAAAAATTAAATCATATTTCTATGAATATTTCTAATAATGCAAGGTGCCACACTCAGGCTTGCCCGTCCCCTTTTAAACTTCTCGGTCCAATCTACACCCTTCCAAGCGTTAGGGCATTGTTGCCTTTTTGTGTTAAGAGACTCCGATGAATTTCAACACCTGACACACCTTCCTACAAGAGAACTCGTATCACTGCTTTTTGTTTCTCCTTGGTGCACACTACTAACGGAGCGGCCATGTTTACACTGTAAAAGCAGTAAGAAAACAGGCGCGATCAAGCTCAAACTTTGATCAAGTGACCAAAATAAGCAAACATAAGCAGAAGGCAGTGTAACAAACCGAAATATATATATATATGGCGAAAGTGCAGATAATTTTCATATATATATATATATATTTTTTTTTTTTTGGTCTATCCCGTCGTATTCGACGTATGAGGGTCAAGCAGGTCAGTTCCGAGGAACCGACAGCCCGACAACAGTACTATAGAATTGATTATAGTGATGAACGTTTCGTGCAGAACCATCCACACTTTTCGAAGGGCCAAATACAGAGACCTGGTGCACTACGTGCCACAAGGTCCCCAAACGAACCTCCGCAGGTTTTGAATTCAGAGTTTTCCTTCTCCTAGACCAGTTGCCATCCAGTTGCGTCTGTCATAGGTGGAGGGATACATGACTGACGAGGCAGATTTTTTTCCGCAGTTAGTTGCCATTTCTTTCTGCGGTAGACCGGCTGTCCCGCTATTTACCTGTACCTGGGGAGTGGGGGAGGAAAAGACGAGGATTCATACCTTTCCCAAGGTTTGGTTCGTTTTATTTTGTTTTACGGCATATTAACCTCAATGGGTTATTTAATGCCGACAACATTTTTAGGATGGATTCGTATGAATAGAATATGTATTCTTTAGTTTAGATTAGTTTGGTTTATTTTGTTTTACAGCATATCAATCTCAATGGGTTAATTAATGCTAACAAAATTTTTTATTGCTGGTAATATTTTGTTTTGTCAACAATCTGTTTCCGGTAATATTTTCCTTCAAATATGTATTGTTGGTAATAATTTTTTTCAAAAAACTATTGCAGATAATAGTTAACTATTTGCCCATAGCTGGGACCCTAACAGGTGCTACCACCCCGGATCAGGGTGGACCTGGGGACACCAGCAATTAAGAGGTGGTTCCATGTTCCTCAAAACCTTCTGATCAGAGGCCTTGGTGCTGGACGTAGTTTCTCGTCTTACTCAGGACGAGGATGTAGTTTAATTTTTTACCCAGGACGATCTTTCCCAAGGGTATTAGCATGTAAGTGAATGTAATAGATTCGACTGGAATTTGAACTCAGCTCTCCGATTCCTCAATCCTAGCTGCTATCCTTACTCCACCGTTCCTCCCAAGATAGATATGCATAGGTAAAAAGGAATAGAGAGAGAGAGAAAGAGAGAGAGAGAGAGAGAGAGAGAGAGAGAGAAGATATATAATAGGAATAAAAGAAAAAGAGGAAAAATAGAAAACATTTAATAAACAAATAAGAAAAAAAAAAGTTAAGAGCAGAAATAAGAAAAAATTAGAAAGAAAAAAGGAAAGAAAGAAACATAAAAGATGAGCCAATACCAAAAATAAATCGATTGTCCTAGAAAAATTTCCTTAATAGGGCTTACTTAAGAGTAATTTGCGTGAGGATGGAAGAGGGTCTTACAAGTTGGACTAGTTACAGGCGTCTATACTAAGGTTATGCGTGACCAAGCCAATGTAAGAAGACAGACTCGATGAAGGCGTGCCCATTATTATGATAAAAAAGCGAAGAAAACGAAATTGTTATAAAAATTACTTTTACAAACGTCGCCGCTGAAAGGAAACGATATCTACATAGCATCTGTCAAAATATGAGACAAACATCATTAATAACAGTCGATAGAAGCACTAATTAGCAGGTAGTTTAGGTTTAAGGCTTCAACTTCACAACAACGGGACAATAGCCTTGTGGGTTAAACTGTTAGTTCGTGAATTTGGTGACGTAAAGAAGAATAAGAAATATTATTGGTCCTGATCTGGCATCTCGGCTTCAGTCAATTTCCCTCCTTGTCCTTTTTTCTTATAAATACTTTTATGGTAATTATTCGGATGAGCTCACCGCTATGATGCCTAAATTTTAAAAATTTAAGCGCAGTACTAGACGTATTGGGAGATGTTCCAAAAGCCAGGCAGAATATTGCAAGACAGGAGGGTTTCTTTTGGTAACAAAGAAAAGAATACCGAGCTGTTACGTGACATCTATCCTTGTTTACGGCAGCGAATGTTGGACGATTTCCTCAAAGATGAAGAAGAGACTCGAAGCGACAGAGATGTGGTTCTACAAAAGGATGCTTAGGATATCATGGACCGAGCGTGTGAGCAACGATGAGGTCTTAGAGAGGTTGCAAACAAGGAGGAGGCTTATACTTTATATCAGGAAGAGGCAGCTGAAGTTTATGGGACACATAATGAAGAAAGAGGGCCTGGAGAATCTGACATTCACGGGTCGAATATCGACAAGAGGAAACAATGCGTGACATACCCGGCGAGCTTAAGCAAGTGGATGACAGAACGTGGTCTGGGGGAGGAAGCAGAGGGAAGGAACTTGTTGAGATCTGCAAGGGATAGAGAGAGGTGGAGAACAATGATCGCCTACATCCTGAAAGGACATGGCACATAAAAAGAAAAGACTACACTGGAGATGAGATTTCATTTATTTACAGTTGATTTGGCTAGATAAATTCTATGCTAATAGTTTCTTCTCTCACACTTATCGCTTGTGGAACTCCCTTCCGGCTCCATGCTTTCCAGCCAGCTTTAATCTTCAAAAATTAAAATGCAATATCAATCACTTATCTACTTTTCTCTTGGTTACTCTTCTCGCTCCTTAGTAATGTTTCTAATTCTTCTACACTCAGTAACTTCTTGCGTCTTAGTGGCTTTACTACCTTGCTTGGGGCGATCTCTGGGCCGAGGAGTGTGTAGATGGTTTCAGTAGAAATGGGCAAGCAATAACTGAGCAGTACTAAAAATAAGAACTAGGCGATATTTCTAGTGGAAAATGCCCTGTAAGTTATCTAGATTCATATACTCCTGATGAAGGCTGGATGGTACAACAGCCGAAACGTTGTTATACCCACAACAAAGATGTGAACAATACTCATGTAAAAATTCATTTTTATCCTAATGTTCACCAAGTCCAAGGCCTAAGAACAACTCAATGTAGAGGGGTACTGTGTTGTGTGGTGTTGTAATGGCCATATCGCCCTGAAACACCGGTTCCTGTACGATCACCTAAGTTGAGCAATGTCGAGCCTGGTCAGTACCTAGATGGGTGATAGCTTAGGAATAACAATTGCTGTAAGTTTGGATGTGCGGATGGTGTAATGGATAAGGACTTGGAATTGTCAATTGGGGAGCCGAGTTCCAGTTCACGTTAGGTTCGTTATATCCACTTATGGGCAACTACACTTGGGGAAGATATGAATCCTCCTTTTCTCTCCTATGGGTTAACTAGTTAGTCAAGTATTACTAAATCATTATTATCTCCGTCCCTCCAAAATTCTTAAAATCTAAAAATATTTTCTGGCTTTAAATAACCTGCAAAGGGTTGCTAAGCCGTAGAGAGCGAATCAGTCACTCAATAAACTCCGACATTTTGTGATAACAACAACAAAGATGAGGACAATAGTCCGAATGTAAATAGTATAAATAATGATAACTCCTCATCACAGAAATTCAGACTATTATCGAGCGTACTTTGCAAATTGCGTCGTTCTGGATCCGGATGCGTCGTAATTTACTAATTGGGGGTTCTTTTTCGAGATCAGTTGCTAGGTCTACTTTGTCGGGTCTGTCGGTTTAGCTACTAACCAGGAGTTATAGCTGGCCACTTGTATCCGAGGATACCTGTCTACGAGGGCGGCTATCCAATCCCAATTGCAGACGCTTGCTCGGGCGCATTTGTGTTTATTCAACACGCACAGAGCCCACCTGTGGTTTATACTGCAACTATGCTGAGCAGAAATTAGTTACAGTTTCTGGGAAAGAGCGTGATATCTAGCGTGATCAACAATCTGAACAAGGCCAATACACTCAAACCCTCGGTCACAATGAATGGTGACTTCCTGCTAGCACAACTATCGACGGCAGCCAAGGTTTATGTCTACCCAATTTCACTCACAAGGCTTGGGTCAACCCGTGGTATGGTTTTTAAGGCAATTTCCAAAAAGTGCCGCAAGCCGGGATCGACCTCTCCAGTCCTATAACATCAGGAAGTCTCCTTCCTGACATCGAGCATGGAGAGATTCGAATCCGGGTCTCATGATCAGAATGTGAACCACGTGCCCATATATATATATATATATATATATATATATATATATATATATATATATATATATATATATTGCTTTCATTTTTACATTTTATATTTTTATGTTATTTTATTGAGTTAAAAACAAATACAGTAAACTAAATATTTTGTTAACATTTAAGTTTAAATTTTTAAATAAATTGTTCATTATGAATCTAATGTGGACGATAATTTTGATTTTATTAAAGATCTGGAATTTGATTGGTTAATATAGGTCGTCACCTAGCGTGTTTTTAAAATTTAAGTTTTGTCTTTCCCTTTCCTTTTCTGGGAGGTCATTGTTGGTTTTAAACCCTTAAAAAATCATTTATTTTCAAGCAAATCATCATCGACATAAGATGCACGTATATTGTTAAAACATGGTTACATTTGTGTAGCGATTATATATATATATATGACATTATAAATCAACTTGACGCCATTCACATGTACTGTCTTCGTGCTATATATGATATAAAATGGGATGACAGCGTTCAGAAGAGTGCAATACTGATGAAATGTAACAACATCACAGGCATTGAAACCATTCTAGCAAAGATACAACTTAGGTGCGCTGGTCATATGTTGAGAATGGATGAGCATTAGGTTCCAAAAAGAAGGTAATGTATGGACAACTACCAACTTTCCAAAGGTGCCGCATACTGGGATCGAACCCTACAGCAAGAAGTCTCCTTTCCGATAAATTGACAATGGTGAGATTCGAACCCGGTTTTCATTGTCAGAATGCAAACCACGTGCTCATACTAAGACATGGGTAAATAGCAATGAACAACTTTCTTTTAATCATCTGAGAGAACCCACATTGCCTTCCATTAGCATGGCTGATGCTAACCACCAGGAGAACGATTCATTACGCCTTCTCGTTTTCCGCTGACATGAAGTAGAAAGATTATATTGAATCCAATGCTATGTCAGCTGCTAAGAAAGTTGCTTCACTGTGTCATGCTAGACACACTTTCTCGCTAGAATCTATTTTACATATACATGCCTACCATTCGTCTTTGCTTTGAATATTGCATTCGCATCTGGTCTAGTGCTTCTGATATGCATTTAGAGATTTTTGATAAAATCTAACAAGAATCTGTAATGTTATAGGTCCTGAGCTGACATCTCGGCTTCAGTCACAGGGCACAGGGAAGCTAAGTTACGGTGACAGTGTCCTGTCACCGTAACTTAGCTTCCTTGTGCCTTTTCTATAAGTACTTTCATAGGGATTGTTCTGATGGACGTTGTTCTATGGTAGCTAGACTTTATGAAATCAAGAAGAAAAAGGTGATTTGAAGATCACTTTACACCCCGATTAAATTACTCCATGCAGGTTAATCTGACCTCGAAATCGTTTTAACTCAGCTAAAGCCTACATTTGTTATTTGATATATTCTGTGCGCGAATAGCAGATAATGTTTTTTTTCAGGGTGGGAAAGCAACATAGGGAAACACCCCAGAGACGAGATGTAGCATTCTCCTATTAAGATTAGAGTAATATACAGTTGGAGAATTTTCTATCTCTATCTATAAAAGGCAGGATGTGTGTGTGTGTGTGTGTGTGTGTGTGTGTGTGTGTGTGTGTGTGTGTGTAACGAATGCACGGCCGCAATTTTCGACGGATTTGCACCAAAATTTACATGCACATGCTCCAAGTTAGCGGGAAGGCCAAGACTGACTTTGCATTTCCCATCTCCCATCGATAGTGGAAATAATCGATTTTTTCATGCTTCTACGGCAGTTTTCATGTAGTTTGCAGCCATTTTCTACTGGCCAGAGTGAGAGCCTATAGCTGACTGCCACGAACAGGCAGGAAGATTCTATTGGCCAGCGTGAGAGTCAACAGCTGACTGACACGAATGTTAACTAGCATGGTAGCATGCAAGAAAAAAATCGATAGCTGCATTCGTCACATGTGGGAAAAATTTAAATCTGCATGGCACTTTACTCCAATTAGCTCATTCGCTTGCTTAAACTCAACGTTGATTCTGATTCCGCAGAACTGGGTTGGGTGTGAAAAATTATTTGTTGTTAACATTCTTTTTTCATTCGGTTTTTCCAGTTACGAGTCCTTTTTTAAAGCCGATCGTTTTATGTTCATTTTGTTTAGTTCTTTTTTCGTAACAGATTATATTGTTTAGTATAGAGCTTAGAAAAAATTTGAAGTGTGAGATAGGCAAGAAGTAAGGCATGTAGCAACATCAGCATGGCAAAGGGCACTCCTTTAAAGGCAAGGAAGGGCAAAAATATTTGGAGTCAAGTGATAGCGATTGCTGTATGAGTCGTACGATTTTTGAATCAAGCACGGGCAACGCTGGGCCATGCTGCTAGTTAATAATAAAACTGATAATTTTTGAATTCATGTGACGAGGAGTTATCATTTTTTACACTATTTATATTCGGACTACATTGTCATTATCTTTGTTGTTTTTATCACAACGTTTTGGCCGTTGTACCCTCCGGTCTTCTTCAGGGGTATATCAATCCGGGTAATCTACAGGGAATTAATTTCTGGGATGAGGAATTATGATTATTTGCTCTACTTTTATTCGGACTATATTGTCATTATCGTTGTTGTTGTTATCACAAAGTTTCGGCCGTTGTGGCCTCCGGCCTTCCTCAGGTGTATATTGATCTGTGTAACCTACAGCGAATTTCTGGGATGAAGAGTTATTCTTATTTACTCTATTTACATTCGGATCATAATGTCCTTATCTTTGTTGTTGTTATCACAACGTTTCGGCCGTTGATCCTCCGGCCTTCCTCAGGTGTATATCTGTGTAACCTATTAGGAATTAGTTTCTGGGATGGGGAATTATTATTTACTTTATTTATATTAGGACTATTGTCCTAATCTTTGTTCTTGTTATCACAACGTCTCAGCCATTGTGCTCCCCCCATCCTTTCTCGGGTGTATATCGATCTGTTTAACCTAAAGGGAATTCTGAAGTGAACCCTTTATTTAACCTATTGTTCCCATTATTATTTCGTTTAGATCTTATTATATTTAGTACTGTTCAGTTATTTCTTGCCCGTTTCTAATGAGAGCAAGTATGCACTGTCTGATCCAGGGAATCTATCATTTTTCCTCCGCCATAATTTAGCTAATATTGAAAATAAAATTGTTGTGCAGAAAGACTCTCTGACCATCTCTACATTATTATTGAAACATGGAGTCGCTTATTCACTATGAGTAAAACGTCTGCACATGGAACAATGGCAAGTTTTGAGTTGTACAGAACTACTGTATTCTTAGTTAATATTCTCATATGATTAAAACCTGTTGCTTGAAGTCTCTTCTTATATGTGAGGAGAATGCTAAGCATTCACTTTTGTTATAAAGTTCGTATATGGCTGGCTCGTAGTTGCTTGTTTGTATAGAAAACAATGGAAACAAAGGGTTGAGTGGAGAAGGGACTAAAGAAAGAAAGAAGGGTAACAGTGAAAGTGCTACGCCTTAGAGACCCACCTTTTGCCACTGTTCCATGTGTAGACGTTATACTCATAGCGGATGGACGAGTTCATGTTTCAATAATAATGTAGAGAAGGTCTTTCTTCACAAAAATATGCAACCTATTTTTGCATATTTTAATTTTTGAAACTGACAAATTCATTTTCCTCTTTTTTATCCTATAAAGATTATAAAGAACACCGAAGAAGTTATATAACAGGAAAATTTAATAACTAAAATACGGGTTGCCCCCCCCACCACCACCACCACCAAAAAAAAAACATTATTTAAAAATTGAATATCAGAGTAAATACATGTGACGGGCAAACAAAATTAGCCTTCATGTTAAACGATAATATATATATTTATCAAAATTCGAACAAGACATTCAAAGAGATGTAAATTTTATAATCGATTACACTGTTTCACAAATATTCAATATGCGCACCATGACACACGTCAAGATGTTAGCCCAGCTCCTGCCAAACACGCTGTAGCATGTATTGCGTAACTTTCTTCAGCTCTTTAGCGCAACTACGATGAAAATATTTGT